ACGGAACATTGTTCTCGCGAATAATTACACTTTTTTATGATTCGTTTGCATCGACGAAAGTTGAACGACCGAAACGTATCGACAAACGTTATACGTACTTTTCGTTTCCTGCACGAAAAACTACTGTAACGGAACAAAAGAAAAAATTGCTCGATTTCTGTTCCTCCTAAGTTTATTCTGAAGCTTGTATATCCCTGTTCGGCATTATATTAATACTTTTGAAAATTTTCTCTCCGTAATGAACACAGAGTTAATTACTGGTTTTAAAGTTTCTTGATTTAATTGAATTATACAGACAGAGTATAATTTTCAGTTTGCATATCTCGCTCATTATAAAAATAACTTTGAAATATATGTAAATCCTTGTAAGAAAAGATTTCAATTATCACACTGTTAATTCGATATTAATTCTAAAATACCAGATGTTGCAAACGATATAAATCGAAAACATATAGTCAAGCATTAAAACTTATGATAAATTAGTAATAGTTGAATTATTGTATTTTTTTTGGTACATAATAACTTTTTCTCCCGTGTAATATATATGACTAAAAATATTAACAAAATATTTGCAACTAGTATTAGTAACGTACAGAATATTCGCAAAGTCACTCCTTGGTTTCAAATGATTACAAAATCAAAATTTATTGGAATATTCTTTCACCTTTGTGGTTACAGTTTCATCAGTTCATAAAATTTCATGTGGTATCTATTACCTGTTACTGTAAATGCGATAATGGAACTCCGAACGGACTCCCCAAAGCATATTCGGTATGATCGCGTTTATAGCTTCAGTGATGCTATCCTGCAGATCATCCGTAGTTGCAAGTAGAGGAGGTACGTATGTACACTCTGTCCTTCACGTACCTCCAAAGGAAAACGTCGCAAACAAGTGACCTCGGGGGCCACTTGAGGAACACCTAGTCATTTTTTCTATTTCCTTCAAATGAATTTCTCTGCTCGCTAGATAGAAAGATATAAAGATTTCGAATTAATGTAGTTGCTGTCGTTTTATTTATAAACATATCCCAAGAAATTTTGTATTTGTACACGTTTGAAATTAAAGAGTATTTTTGTGGGAATCCAGTATTATTATATTTATTAATAAACGATTTTCGTAAACTTTATTACTTTGAATTTCATTTCAAATGTAAAGAATAATCGTACATGTACATACACATTATTCAATATGTAACAATGTAATAACTTTCAAACACGTTTAAGATTCTTTTGAAATAGTAGAATGTACACTTAATAGGACACTATACAAATCACTCAAAAATCTTCTAATTTACTCATCGAGTTATCATGTAACACATATGTTACAATTAATAACTAATAATAATGAATTATAATTAATAATGATTAACATTATTAATAACATTGTAATATTATCATTAAATTAATCCAAGAATATTTCACAAAAGCTTTTTCTTGAGCATTCAGAAATAGAAGTTAGATCACACTATTATTCTGAGCCACTCAATATCAGGAATGTATAAAAAATATAACACAAAAGTACAACGTTGGAAAATCAATCACCAGCAATACAAAATATCGGAAACATATCGATTTTCTTTCAGTAAGTGTTTGAACACTTTTGCCATCTAACTAATTACGTAAAGGAGGTTCCAGTGTACACGAATAACTCTTCGAAACCAACTAATAAGCACCGTAGGGACTTGTATATATTCCCTCAGCATTCAGACACTAATTCGACATCAGGAATTGCTAGCCGGAAACGCAGCTATGTTCGTGAAACATGATTAAAGTTTGAAACTCGATAACCAAAGGGCCAAGTCGCTGACTCGATCTTAGCGGACTTGTGATAAAGAGGGGGGTCCGTGAAGGGTGAGCAGTGTGTCTGAGCGTTTGCCCCGGTCCTAGAACCGGCGACCTCCGTATCGTGCCAAAATCTGTCACCCGGAGATGCATTTTCCAGTTCCCGTCCGGGGAGCAACAGTTGTCGCGCCACGGGAACTTTGACCACCGGATATAGATTTCAACGGCGACTACTAACTGTGCGTGTCGGCACTGCATGTACACGAATGAAACATGACCACCTTAAAAGACTTTTGACAGATATACAAGGTGTCCTTGAAGCTTGATAACCTCGAGAATTCGTTTATCAGGAATAGCGATTTATGAAAGCTTTTTGAATCGAATACTACTTTGAATCAACTTCTTCCGAGTAATATTTCGAATCATTTTTTACAAACCTAAACTGATAGAACATATATTAACTTTATATTATTTAGCAAATCAATAGGTACATTTATTAATTCCTCAGAAAATCATCACTAAACAAAAAATCCAAAACATCATTTGGGTTTGATAAGTCTATCGCTAACCTAACCAGTTTTCCATGTCTTTGCTCCGCAAAACACAGAGAAAAAGGAAAAAGAGCCAACAGGAAAAGAGAATTTCCTGAAGTAGCCGAAGTAATATTGCTTTTCTCGAAATTCAACTCCATCCTGTGAAATCACGTTCCTATATGGCTGGGACGCCGAACGCCATTTCGGTGCACGCTGCCTTTGAAAAGCGAGCCCTTTCAAGTGGGCCGTGTGTTCGGCGCCGCGTGCGGTGTACACGCGGAGAACGCGGCGTAACGTGTCGCGAGCAGACATAATGTTCGCCGGCGAACTCGGCCGTCCTGGCGAGCGCGACCGTGCTGCCACCTGGTCGATTCGAGCAATCAGGGACATGGTCGGACCTTTTAGCATAATGTCTAAGGCCGCGTACAGACTTGTCATGACCTGTGACAGTAAAATTCCATTTATCTGAACGGATTTTCCGTATGTATGGCATTAGGTGAACTATAACTGAACTCCTATTATCTGGACTATTGCCTAGTATCATTACAGTTACATAAAGAGTGCATGTATTAAATGTTAAACTTTATTGTCAGGGATTTCTCAAGTGAAAGAGATACGTGAGAAACAAAAATAGAATATTCTCCATCATTTCTTGCAACGTTTATCCATTTTTATACGCGAATTCCACGATAAAATCAGTACCTGGCTTTTGACTCTATCGATTCATCTCTTCATTTTTTATTTCGTCAATATCTTGAAACTGTGTATCTGTGAGAGCTTGCTGCATAGATAATACTATATATTTTATTTTGTTATATTTCTTATTTAAATAAATTAATTCATTCACGATAGTTTATTTAATTATTAAAGGCGTTCGGATACCTGCATTTGAAATTCAGTCAAGATCAGATCGAAAAATACTACATTTAGATAATATTGTCATTATAAAGACTATCACCGCTACACGCTGCTGATAGCTAAAGTGTCAAACACAGAAACGTCGTCTGCATTTGTGCAGGATTACTTATCGCCTAACAGTTCGCAACAACGGAACGAAGTGCGGTAGCAAGTCTGGATGCGGCCTAAGGTGATGCTCACCGGATGCCCCATTTCTCCGCAAGCAAGTAGCCTGATTACTCGAAACGGTCGCGGGCTAAAGGGAAACGGATGCGGATGCGACTCGGGAATGGATTCCCATCTCTCTCTCTCTCTCTCTCTCTCTCTCTCTCTCTCTCTCTCTCTGCGGCTCGCTGCACGCGTGCATCCACGCATTCAGGTTTCGCGCATTGATCCGGCTATCCGGATAGCCTTTAACCAGCACAACCATCAAACTTCAAGTCGTACGACTTCTCCAAGGAGTTTCGCCAACCCATTCGGACCGTGGTCGTTCGGTGGCTCGATAATTGAATCCGGGATTCTTGCGGGTCGTTCTGAATAATTAGCGTTAACTGTTACGGTTGCGCAGCTTTCTTGAACGCCCCAACCCTTAGTTCTAATGCTGATGACGCTCGTTTCGCGCGCCAACTTGTAATATCCCGCGCTCTGGTTTTCTTTAGGTTCTTTTTTTAAGACACCTGTGCTAAGTACGTAGAAACGTAACGGAAAGCGATTTACTTTGTTATTAATGTGGAGAAACGGAAATAAATTCAATTATGAATTTTTTTATGTTTCTTTTTCATAGTTTTCTATGGGTCGTTACATTGTTTTCTTTTATTAATTGAAATCGTTAACTGCTATGGTACTGTAATGGTTACTGTATTCGTTAATAGATGTGAGGTTTGTTTCATTAATACCATTTTCGTTCCGCATTTTTCTTTGTTGTGCTAATTATTGTAATTTAAGAAAAGTTATGTCGTTCTACATCTTAGTGAAATAATTAAAACTGTTATAATGTTCGGTACATGAGAAATTTTAAGACACGAAGGGTATAGCCAGATGTGGGCGGTGAAAGTGCTCCCGATCCCAATAGATTTGTACCAGTATCATTCAACAGACCTTTCGAAGGAAACATTTTCTGTCAAGCTTCAAACCATCACCACTCCTAGCAAAGTAGTTACGGGTGAAAAATAATTTATGGTTTATTTCCAATGTGAAAATTCAAATTAAATATATTAATTCATTTAATGCATGTGAACGTATTTAGAACTGGATGTGATTACAGTTTAAGAAATAAAATATACCCATCGCTTACGCGAAAACAAATATACTGCCTCTATTTAAAACAATAAACGTGTCTTGTATATCTCGATAAAACAGTAAAACAACATAAAACTCATATTACTATTGAATGTTCCCTTCGTAACAGTGTAACTTTTGTTCGAAACATTTTTCCGTACAGTACATATTTTATGAGTTATTTAGAATCGTCACGTTGTGTGAAACTCTGTATATCCTTAGCTTTTAAACCGATGAATTCCTAAACGTGAAACTTAAAATTTAGTCTTCATTTATCAAATACTATCAACATATGTAAACAGAGTTTAAAAAAAATAGTGCCTCAAAGTAAAGTCCAGCCAACATATTTGCCAGAAAGGCTAGTGTCTTGAGAAGTTATGATATGATTTGGTGACTTATTATCGAGTCACAAACACATTTGCCGAGTACATCCCTTAATCATTTTGAATAGCGCGGCACACCGGTTGCACGTGGTTACTAAGCATAATTTACGAATGATGTATTCTGCAGGTGGTAGAATCGACCACGCGCATCACTATAACAACGCTTATCGAGCACTGGACGAAACACTGGCGTTAGAGGAAGCGGTGAGGGCTGTAATGAAGGAAGTCGACCTGTCGGAAACGCTACTCATCGTGACGGCAGATCACTCGCACGTGCTTACGCTCGGTGGTCTCGCTACGCACCGTGGGAATCCCATATTCGGTAAGTGACACGATAAACCACTGTTTGATATGGCTCTCATCTTCCACCACCATGATGTCAAGAGATTTATCATGGTCAATGGGTTCGATTGTATTTCACGCATTTGAAATCATGCGTGCTATTATCGAGTCTTCTTAAAAGAAGTCGCGATTTTTAATATGTCTAACATTTTAGTCGAAGTTTTCTAATTTATACAATAGATTTCATTACATTTATAACAACAGGTCTAAAGTTTTCGAATATTTATTAGTAGTGCCCCTTCCTTCACTTGACAGGCGTTATTTGCTTTAAGATTGCGATACAAATTAGGAATCATATTACCAACAACAACAAGCAGAATTTCAAATAATGTAACATATAAATGAAGAGTTCTTGTAGAAAATACTGTATTTCCAAACCAGAACAAATTTGTTTTCCTATTCTTACCTTATAGTATGCAATTTAATGCAATTTTCATTCCGCACGTAATCATCCATAATACTAGTCGTTCATGATGATGATTGATACGAAATTGATTGTTCGGGATAAACATAGTAGGAACCATCATTCAGGCGCGCAAGCAACCCTGCGTGTCGTGCGGAAAACTTTTTGGATACCTCATGACCGAGGATGGGTGCAACAAAACACCATATAACACGGGTAATCGGAAAAACAATACTATCTTTCGTAGGACTTCTCAGCAATACTAATCAAATCGAAACCATCTTGAACTCTCGTCCACTGATTCCGATCTCATCCGATTCAAACAATCTAACTCTCAATACTCCAGATCATTTCCCAATTGGCGAGTCCTTGATGAGCGTGCTTGACCACGATCTATAGTTCTAAGCGTATCGTAAAATTATTGAACAAGCCGTTCAAGGGGGGCGGTATGTTGACGCTCGGTGTCACAAACTGACACACCGTTACGTTTCTCTAAATCTTTCAAGGGATCGTAGTTCAAATAACTTTATGAAGCCATCGACCATTACCTTCAACAACCACCCTCAGCTGTTCGAGGATTAGCATTTTTACATTTTAGATATTTACTCTTTGCATGTTTTATTAGGGTTAAGGCGCTTCGTACAGTTTTTTACCTGCTACGGTCGAGGCACGCGGAATTTCCATGACGTCACGCGAAGGTACTCTCGATAACTGCAGGTGACCGATGGACTTGGAGGCGGTCAACTTTCCGGTGACTGTCACCAATCAGGAAAAACGGTCTCCTCCCTGTCCAAAACTTGTAACTTTAGGAGACAACCAATCCGCGTGCCTCATCCCCCGACACTACCGTTACAGCTAACTATTTAAGGGTAGACCTTAGCACAAAACGCCGAATTTCTAACCAAGAATTCCACGGAGTTCCACCACAACACATATCGACGGAATTTCTAACGAAGAGTTCCACAACAACAGATATCGACGGAATCTCTAACCGAAGAGTTCCACAAACAACACGAATCAACGGAATATCTAACGAAGAATTCCACAACTCAACGGATCAACATCGATCCACTTACAACTCATCGAAAATCTCATTATTTCATTCAGGTTCAGCATCACTAATCTGAAACTGAGCCAGAGCATCGCCGTAACTAACTGCGACGCTCAACACTGATAATATTGAAAGACGGCATCATTGTAATACAATGATCTACGTAAGGGTAGGTACTCTCTTTCCCTTCCTGAAAAATTTCATGTTGTCACTTACAACCTTTTCTAGAAATACATACCTTTCAAATAACAAAGCGTAAACAAGTTAAAGAAAACACCCGTTTACACTTGAAATTTTATCGAAATTCATTCTTACATATGAAACAGTCACATAACTGTTTTTAGAGAGTCCAAGGTAAAAACTTTAATTACACATAAATATATAAATAGAACATTAATTATATTTATAACACCAATATGTTATATCTTTTAAGTATTCAATCTATTTTCACTTTCATATTCTAAATAAATACTAATAATCTCTGACACCCTTTCCATTATGTCATTTATTAAAAATATACATCTTCTAAATTAAATCGCGCCAAATTCTTCGCACAGAAAACTTAGAATACAGCTAAACAGCTCTAAAGATCAAAGGTTTAATTTTTCCCACGACGCGACGGTGATCAAATAAAACGAGTAAGGAAAAGTTCCGTGAACGACTCCGCAGTTCGAGGTATCATCCTTTGAAATACAATCGCGGTAAACGTAAGGATCGTGCCTGGTACGGAATAACCCGACTGTATACTTTCCAATATCGTGCCTCTTTATTAACCTCGTTATTTCTTTGATTTCCTTTTTCCACCGTGGAAAATGTGAAAGGAGATCGAAGACGAACATGCGCTGTACTCGCACGCGTTCAACGAAAGGCTGCCGATGTAATTGACATTTTTCCCATATTTCCCTTCTCGTTTGTTCAACGAGAAATTTCCTATTCCCGGTAAATTAAATTCGCGGAAAACCGAACCAGACGAGCTGCAGAAAGAAATATCCACGATAATCTACGACACGACGAGATACAGATGCTTGCCTCGTCGTATGTGCAGTCGGCTCTGGTCCGACAAGGCAATTATAGAGAGCAATAGGCCGCGATTCTCCGATTGAGAGCTAGCCTTCAGCTAACCGAACCTACATTGCCTGTATTGGAGATAACGATGCGACTGTAATCTTGTGGGGTTTCAATCAAAGGGTGAACACGTCCAAGTGTTATAAATGCTTGATCGACAGTTCTTGGAAAGTATCGGAGACCGATGGGACAGTGATATTTATAGCCTACCCGTAAACTTGGGAAACATTCGGTGATATGAGGTAATCTCAGAAGTAATATCGTTTCTCTATTTTTTATGAAAAATTTCAACTGTCTATTGTTTTTAGTATTCGCGTAACACTTGCTCCTTGAACGCATTCGACCGTTTTTACAAAAAACCCATATTTTTTGAAAATTGAGAGTGATCCAGCAATTTGGTTTTCGGATTCGTATGTAGGGCAAAGAGCTCTATAAGGATTGCCTAGTGGCTATTACAAAACACAAAGATTCAAATTTGTTGGACAGTGTTATTAGATAGTTAAATAACTTACTAAATATAAACTAATTAAACAACTGAATATTCTGCGTTTTGCAATAAGTATTCAGCTCTTAGAAAATTCTCAATTTCGGATCTTCTTATTCGCGAACACCATATGCATCCAAATAAAGACACTTGTTTATTCTACCAAGCAACTAAGAAATGTCAGACGTAGGGGAGCGAATCGTCGTTGATCAGCGTCACTGACGTAACTGAATGAAACTCAATTTTCTTCGACAATTTCAAGAATCAGGACGGACTGCCTATCCTTGATTAAATTAAATCGCAGGACAATGCAAAGCACATTTTCCGAGTGGGATCCCCTAGCAACCAGGCTTCTCCATTCACGGATCAAGTTATGATTCAGGAACAGAGTGCCGTGAAAGCTTATACCGGATTCCACTAACATTTTCATTCGTTTCTTCGCTTGCATTGTTCTTACCGGTCTTTATTGTATTGTGCCTCGGAATGTTTTTTATCGTCGTCGTCGCATTCCTCTTCGTTGTGTCAATACAATTCAATAACTGCTCTGCAAAGTATGAGAACAAACATACACCCTATTCCGTTTTTATATGACAGATACGTTCGGTGTAAAAATAATTCATATAAATAAATATACCGTGCCTATAGCAAAATAGAAATTGGTTCCAGACTTAAGAAATCAATAAAATAATCCAATAAACTACATGAAGTTGCGTTCAAACGAAATCGTGAAGGAAGAAAAGTAATTATTCTCTAATTCATGTTAAGTCAAACATATCTTGTAAAAAGAGAAAAATAATTTGTGTTAAATCGGAAATGGGTAAAAACGAAATTGGTTGTACCAAATAAGTAATTTAATACGGGAAAAATAATTTTGACACGCAACTTTATGATTTTACACTTTCATCTGCGTCGAAGTTACTGGGGAATCTTCGATGGAGTTGAAATCGGTAACACTCAATCCTGCGTTCGATTTCGTGATCCCAACCCATGCAACTCTCTTACCGTGATTAAATTGGACGTAACAGACTCGCATAAAAGACCCACGCCAGCTTCCGAATCGAAATCCGGATCAAACATTGAAATGACTCGCGTAGAAAGTGGTCATCCGCCATGAAGTCGGTGGTTACTCCAATGGCTGGCAACGTTCAAAGATGGCGCAGCGAGCACTTCTGAAATTTCGAACTCGTAAATGCAGATTTTTATGGTACTATATTTTACACGGATTAAGCTAACTTTTTGGCGACTGACATTTCATAAAATTCGTTCGATGTTCTATGGAATTATTTCATTTTCAATGTCGAATATTTTTATATATTCGGTTAATTCTCTCATAATTCATCGTGTACTACACATTTGTAATAGGCATTTAAATTATTTCTTATTCTATAGTAATTCGTGCAAAAACAAACTTTATTAAATTTTGCCCTTTATATTAGAGATTTTATTGTATTCATTTTAATATTCAACAAGCGTTAGACATGGTTTCTGTAAGAAATCAGTTTCCGTAGCTTAGTACCTAATTGCAGACGACATATTTCAAAGTATTTCCACAAAAACATTTAGCGATTCATATTAAATTACATTTTCCCCGCACATAATTAAGATTATTAATAGCTATCACCCAAATTATGAACTTTTATGCGTTTGTATAATTTCTTGGAATCTTTACAAAAGAATAAAACAAAAATTTGATTGAAATTTCAATCTTGTTACAATGTTTTTAACGTAATGAATTCTTTCTTATTAATATAAGAAGATAAATCTACCTTACTTCGAATTCCAAATCTTAAACTATAAAAATATAATACGATAGTAGAACTAAAATCATTAGTACTTCCAAAATGATACAATTTCTTTTATCCAATGTTATCGGTGACTATCTTAACTTGAATAAGAGTATATAAGTAAATGTGTCTGAATCGCGCTGAAAGACACTGTTTACTACAGGAACATCACGCGGAAAGAACGAAAGCATTC